TCTACGCGTTTGTAAATATTTTGGATATCCTAAAGAGCAACTGACTAAATTATTCGATCTCTTAATTATGTCCCTGTTTTTACATGGAATTGAGATTTGGGGAGTGGCATATCAAAGTAAATACCTTGATCGCATTGACAGGTTTTTTAAGCGAGCGTTTAGGTTTGGTTACACCAACAACCTGTATGTAATAGCTGAAGTTATAAGAAACCGAGACAGTAAGCTATGGAAAATTATCACAGATACTCCTTCCCACCCCCTTTCTCAACTATAACCTCCTAAGAAACAGAGATTTTTACGAAACAGAGGACATTACTTTAGTTACCTGCTGTTAAAACAGAACGCTTTAAGAGATCCTTTATTAATATGTGTCATTTTAATTTTATATAATTGTACTTGATCTTAAATTAATTGTTTGTAAAGTCACACGTATGCTGTGACTACATGAATGAATGAATGAATAAAGATTCTTAATAAGTAGAATTAGTAGAGGGTTCGCGACTATATGAAAATAGTTATAAATTTCATAAGGGAATTTTGACTTTTTTAACTACGAAAAGTTGTTGGTAGAAAAGCATATTACTCATGGAAACTAAATTTTTAAATGACTTTGAACTGTTGCAATAGATAATAAGACAGTCACCCCAATTTAAAATTACCATACAAAAACTATGATATAAAAATTCTTCGATACTTAAAAGAATCTTGAACGAGAAACCGGCACTTTTAACTCAAACACTTTTACTTTTCAACTCTAACTGAAGAGTTATTGGCGATAGATTGGGCATAGATTAATTTCTTGAGAATTAATTTTCCTTACCTATCAGCTCTTGTTTTAAGTCATGTGTTCATTATCAGATAATTTATTATTCAAGCGCGAAACCTAGTGGGGAAAATTGCGATTCAACTTATAATTAGTAATGCAAAGGATTTCTTAACTGTCTGATCATTTTCCAAGATTTATCTGCGAACACCTATCATACTGTCCTTAAGTGCCAGAAAAACTTGACTACGCTCATATACTTAGTTAATTGTATGATAATTTCTGTCGCGCGCTTTGCCCACTGTATGAGTAAATGAAGGATTGCTCGATGTGGATAACAAGTGTTGTGCTTCGTTAGAATTGTTTGGATACTTCTGAAACTACAAAACTTTATTAAAGGCTTTTTGGGTAGCAGTTTGGCCTTTCGCTTACCTCCTTTGAGACGGATGTTCTACATAAAGACACTGTGTGCCATACAACAACGAAGAAACTTGCACGAAAACAAAACGAGATGATCAAAATATAACTAAGCTGCGAAAATTATAAGTTAGAGTAACATGAAAGTTCTTGCTTAAAATAATTACATAAAAAAAAAATAGCTCTGACTGGGTAAAATCTGGTATACCTTTTTTCTGTTTCGTAGTCAAGAATTGGCATTTTAGTCCTGGATTAGAAGAAGTATAATTTTGACGCAAATAACAAACAAAAGCAGGCGACTGACGTTGCTTTGTCGTCCGGGTTCCAAGCCTCTTA